CAGTCGTGAAAGTTAACTCTTTAAGTACACTTAAGTGGCCTTTAATTCAATTAATATCATATTTTCTGCAAGTACAGTTTTTTTATATATATATATATATACTTTCAAGTTTTGAAGTATACTACAAGTGCTCATTCATTAGGTCTACAGCTGCACACTTCTTTTTCACACAGGCATCTTAGACTTTCTGAAGTTTGTTTGATGGAAGAAAGAAAGTCATGTAGATTTGACACGTAGAGCCAGAGAATATATGAAATTTGCCTCAGTGGGAGTGAAATGATATTTCATGCAGGCTTACACATGCATGAGTTGGCAACTGTTCAAATCACAAATTGTTGCAAGTTACCTTGATATAACTTCTAAGTTATTGAAATCATACAGAGGCATAACGCTAAACAGCTTCTGTGTCCGTTTCTCAAAATCATTCATTTGATGCCACAAGATAGCGCCAGTGAGTCCTACATAAACATGACTGAGTGGAATCAAGACTTCATCTTTCCACAGTATAGTTTATTGTACAGTATAACTAATATTAATGTAATATATGCAATCTAATGTGACTTTTATTCAATCTCCAGGTCATAGTCATCAGATTTTGCAAACGAATGACCTCTCTATGGCTACATAATCCATTTTTCTGTAGATCTCCAATACAAATACACCATGAGGACAGCAAATGATGAAATCAGGACCCAGATAGCATTCACCGTCGTCCATAGCAGACAGTAGATATGACATGAAAACATATGGGCTAAATTTTCACTATGTATGTTTACAACTGGAGGGAATTATGGAAATGTTTTTGTGGTTAACATTTGGAAAAACAGACGTCTCTTGCTAAAATCGAGCAAATAATCATTATATTTACCAATACGTTATTGATTTGCTGGTACTAACACTGATTTGAACGACAATTATGTTCAAAATACCCATAAAATAGCTGCCTTTACTAGGTGTCTGCTGGATGTTTTTAATATATGGCTGTTCTGAAGTTCCTTTTTGTTGTGGCTTAGAACATTTCAATCAAATTAACTTTCAGTTACTATCTGAAACTGTACTTAGCTTTCACTGGAGCTAATATCCCCTTCAAAAGCAGTACCAATGTCCCGCTCACTACAGTAGATCATTCTAACACTGTAATTACCCTGCTACAGGAAGAGATGCTTGCAGTGCCTGATGGGATATTTAATCATCCTGAAGAGGAAGAGTAGTACATTGCCCACATGCTCGTGGCATTTCCAGACCCACCCAAGCAATATAAAATATGAAGGTCAGAGCTGCGTCATTGGTTTTTAGCAGCTGGACTCCATCTGTTGATGTAAATGAACCATAAAATAGCGGACTCTATGTTGTCAGCAAGGTCACTGAGCAAAAATCTTGATGGCACAAGTTCACTATTAAACGCAAACTATATATATAAACTATAGATACTATTAAACAGTTTATTCACACTATCTCAAAAGGTTGGGCTCGGTAAGATTGTTTAATGTTCTTGAAATAAATCTCTTCTGCTCAACAAGGCTGCATTTATTTGATCAAAAATACAGTAAATACAGTGCAGTAATATTGTGAAATAATATCACAATTTAAAAGAACTATTTTCTGTTTTAATATGTTGTCTATATTTAATATATTGTAATAATATATTGTAAAATGCAATTTATTGCTATGATGGAAAAGTTGCATTTTCAGCAGCATTGCTCCAGTCTTCAGTGTCACATGATCCTTCAGAAATCATTCTGATATGCTGACTTGCTGCTCAAGAAACATTTATTATCAATGTTGAAAACAGTTGTGCTGCTTAATATTTTTGTGGAAACTGTGATACATATTTTCAGGATTCTTTAAAAATATATATTTGAAATATAAATCTGTTGTAACATTAAATGTTTTTACTGTCACCTTTGGTCAATTTAATACATCCTTGCAGAAATAAAGTTAAAAAGGTAAAAACTCAATGCTGACACTCTCATTCACTATTTATAGTGTTTTGACAGTATCATGAGTATGATTTGTCCTGTTTCACATGTGCCATGTGAGTCATAAGTGAATACACAACAGCGATTATTTATAAATGTCTGCTTTCAAAGTGTCAACAGCAGATACATTCAGAACATGCACAGATTCCACATATACACAGTCACTTAATAACACTCCAGAAACTCTCTCCAGTCTCAGTAAATAACCCAGTTAGGGCTCGGCTCAGGTTACCCAGGATAACGCCTGACTGGAGGAAACCTCTTAATTATTCATTGTTGCCATGATGATGCGCTTGACAACAAAGTTCAGAGCTGATGTGCTTTGCGAGAATATTTGATTGACAGTTAGGCTGTGTGTGAATAAAAGGATTAGATTGGGATTCAAATTTTCTATTAAAGAAAAACTCATCTCTTTATTGCATCAAATCTACAAGAGAATCTCTGAATATTTACAAACCTAACTCTGAACTCATGCATTATACATGCCATGAAACATTTACAACAATACTGCTAGAAGAGGGAACAACAACCAAGTTGCATCATTGAAGGAACCAGGATATTTCAATAAAAAAGGGAAAGTGACGTGACGTGTGGCACATACTCAGAATTTGGTGCTATGCACACACCCACACAGCAGTGAGTAGTGAACACACGCGCACACCCACACACCCACACACACCCCTGAAAAACACTGAATATTAAATTCTTTACAAAACAGAAAATTGGATTATAATACTAAACTATTATTATTTTCTTTTGCAATCTTTAAATTAAACCATGTCGGAGAGTGAGAGGGCAAAAGAGAGATTCCGTGAGCTGCATAATGGTGCAGTTGTAGTTCAGGGTTTAAGGCAACGTTTTAATGCGTTGTTAATGACGGTACTGTATCTAAAAGACTGTGGTTACCAGAATCAGTGTTAATTGCACTTCTGACTTCTGTTAACTAATGGCCTTGTGACTTAAAAAAACTGCTTACTATTCTTAAATTTTTAGCGCACCATAAGGAAGAGGTGTCTTTCATTTTATACTGCTGTCTGAATTTTTAGTGGACAATTTGTTTCCCTCTGTAGTGCACACGTTTTTAAAACATTTATATTGTATAACTGATGTATACTTGCCAACAATACATTGCACTTATTGCATTGTGGAAAGCTCCAAATACTGTCCAAATACTTTTTACTTATTAAGATTTGCTGCCTCATTTTTGTTAAGTTCATCCCTATATAGTGCACTATGGAGCATTCCCTATTTAGTGCTACTTGAATGAGGGAACAAGTGAACGATTTCATATACAATCTGTGTGTCCATGCAGCATATGCACTATTTTATTTCTGTGTGTGTTTATGTTGCTATGGTGAATATGTTTCTCTGGTCTCATGCCTCAGTCCTCCACCTAGATTTAATGACAGACCTCCACTGCTAGACGTGCCATCTGTTTATTTCCTGTTTTCATTTCCTTTTTACTCCATCTTTTTTTCTTTTCTGGTCCTGCTTTTTCCTCCCAGACAGCTGCAGAGGCCCGTGTTTGATATTATCATTATCACTATTATTATATTCAACTCTAATATACTCAATTATCCTATATATATTCTATCCGTTTATATATGCCATTCTACTCTCTTCAGCGCTAGTGTACTCTATTTTGCTATATTCTACTCTATTATATTCCATTCTACTCAACTGTATTACTCTGTTCATTTTTACACTTCATTCTGCTCTGTTCTTCTCTTTTATACTCCATTCTTCTCTATTTAACTCTAATATACTCAATTGTACTCAATTCTACTCTGTTCTGCCCTTTTATACTCAACCCTGCTGTTCCACATTTTACCTTAATTTTACTTTTAATATACTCAATTTGACTATATTCTATTCTACCCTTTGCAGTCCATTCTGCTCTATTTTTCTGTTTTTCTTTTATGCTCCATTTGACTCTTTTTCAACTCGAATATACTCAATTCTATCAAGTTCTACTCTATTTATAACTTTTTTTATACTTTTTACTATTTTTTTTAATCTTTTTTGTACTCCATTCTATATTCTACTCTTTTCCATTATATTCTTTTATACTCTCTTATATTATATTGTTCTCAGAGTGTGTGGGTGTGTGAGAGAGAGAGTTTCTTTTTTGTATGGTGTGTCTGTTTGTTGAAGATGAATGCCTCTTTGTCTTTTGGATTGCATGTTGTAGTATAATGTTGTGGAGTGACCCTCTTTCTCTCTCTCTCTTACCTGGTCCAGATGGACTGGAGCTCTTTGGTTTTGCTCTACTCATGATTACAAATGTGACAGCAGTGTCCTTTTCACCTCGTGTGTGTGTGTGTGTGTGTGTGTGTGCGCGTGCGTGCACCTGTGTGTCTGTGTGTGACAGTCATAGCGATGTTAATGTGTGAGTGCTGCAGTGGATCCATCCTGCTCTATTAATCACAGAGTGTTGTAGCATCCAAATACCCACACACGGTCACATGACCTCTGCCACACCACATACTGCACCAAACATGTCCTTCTTCCTTTTTCCCTTTCTGTCTTCTCTTTCTCACACACACATACAGACTGTCTATAGCCCCAGTAATGATTTATATGATGTTTATCTCTGTGTTTTTGAATGTCATCTGTATCAAAGCTCAGTGACAGGAAAAGAGGAGATTTGAAGGTTTTGTTCTCATGGCATTGCATTGTGCCCTTGACATTGCCTCATGTCCTTGATGCGTCTATGCAGTTCGTAATAGCTACAATCAGTTTTCTGTGACTGTAAGCAGTTGTATTTCTCTATGTACGCTGTACATGTGAAGCTGTAGAAGTGCCCCCTTGTGGGTAGAAGACTTTTTAAATGCAGAAGTGCTGCTAGATTATTATATTTCCTGATCAATCTGACTGTAAACTAGTTCAGGAGGTTAATGCTGCTGGTTATAGACAATTTTTCCTCTTAATATATTATCATAACATTTATTTGCATCACAAGGTATAATGGAATAAAAAGATGATTAGTTTTCATGCTGTCTTCCAAATCTGCATTTCCAGGTGGCCGAGGACAGAATGGCAGCCCCATCATTATTTTCCCAGAGTACCCGGCGTTTGGTGAGTTGGAGGAACAGGAGTTTCACAACGTGCTGACATACCTGACCAGTGTTCCCAGGTGAGAAAACAGGAGGTGGAAGGATCAGTCACGCATCTATGCAGTTCGTAATAGCTACGATCAGTTTTCTGTGACTGTAAGCAGTTGTATTTCTCTATGTACGCTGTACATGTGAAGCTGTAGAAGTGCCCCCTTGTGGGTAGAAGACTTTTTAAATGCAGAAGTGCTGCTAGATTATTATATTTCCTGATCAATCTGACAGTAAACTAGTTCAGATTAGTTCAGGAGGTTAATGCTGCTGGTTATAGACAATTTTTCCTCTTAATATATTATCATAACACTTATTTGCATCACAAGGTATAATGGAATAAAAAGATGATTAGTTTTCATGCTGTCTTCCAAATCTGCATTTCCAGGTGGCCGAGGACAGAATGGCAGCCCCATCATTATTTTCCCAGAGTACCCGGCGTTTGGTGAGTTGGAGGAACAGGAGTTTCACAACGTGCTGACATACCTGACCAGTGTTCCCAGGTGAGAAAACAGGAGGTGGAAGGATCAGTCATTACCAGCACTTAAAAAAAAAAAGCAGAGTTCCTACATCCATCGGGGCATGTGAAAATGTTTCCCCCCCCAGACCTAGAAAAGTCCTTATTTATTGACTGGATGTTGCTTTTTGTAAGTGCTTACAAAGTAGCTGTGCATGCAAACCGTGATAACATCAGTCTGTCCATTGATGCTTTTATTGAAAACATGTGTACTTCAGTCTATTAATTTCAAAAATTGCATCCTGACCTATAAATACACTCCAATCTCTGATTTAAAATCCAGCATTGATGAATGATTGGAAATGTCATGAAAGTTAATTTGTCAAAAAGTGTGGGAACACTAAATTACCCAGCTTTTAGCAAAGCCTATCAGAAACTATTTTTGTTTAACAACAGAATACATTATATGTATTTAATTTATGATAAAGATATTGTCTTTATTCAGTCATTTTCACTGCAGTGTTGATGAGAAACTAGATGAGAAATATTTTGGTCGGTTGTTTTATTTCTTGAATTGGACATTAGATGGCACTCTAATGCTTTGCCATTGCAACAAGTCATGCTGTTTGCAATTCAGTGAATCTGAGTCCTGACTGCCTGCTTGTGTGTGTGACTGCTCATTAATATTCATCATACATATTAAATTAGAATGTGTAATTATGTACACGATTAACAAGGTGATCCTAATGCCCCTTGTTTTACATATGCATTCTTAGTTTGTGAGTAATTTGACTACATGATTTTCTCAGGGAAGTAAGTTGTTGACTTGAAGATGCCTTCATATCAATGAGTAAACCTAAAGATGTTGAATTAATTTGCATGTATGTCATTAAATTTGTTTTAATGTTAATCCCTGTGAAAGTTCACTGGTGCATTGGTCTGTTTGCTGATCCTGTGAAATCCTCTTTAATTTAACAGCCCTTGTTAATATTTTAATGAAAGAGTGATTCTGGTCCTTTGCTTTCCATCACACTCTCTTTCTTTCAACCTCTTGTTTCCACATTATTCCCATGAGAAACCGAGAGAGAGGGGGTAATTGGATGGATTTCTTCATGCTGAAAATGGCATGAAGAAATGATGGGGTTTTGATTTAGTTCTGATTTGGTAAATGAAAGGAGTTCAGGAGCAAAATACAGCAGCTCATGGAATAAAGGGGCGAATGTCATGAAACCCCTCAAGAATGCGTCCTTGCCATGTTTATAAAATAAAAAGAAATTATTACTATACTATTTTACTTAAAACCATAAAGATATTTTGCATTGTGACATTAAGTACATTTAGCCACACAATTCAAATTATTATAATGGAAACTAATTCTCATACTGTAATACAAAGTAAAAAATAAATAAGTATATAAAATTAAAATTGTACAAAAGTATGTGTACATCATGGATTTTAACTACCTAGAATTAATACTGTTTTTATATATTTTTTTTAATTGATACTGTCTGGACATATTATGAAAATGTGAATAATAATGATAATAATAATAATAATAATAATAATTATTATTATTAGTATTATTATTATAGAATGAAATATCAAATATCAATTCAAAGATACATTTGTAAGCAAGACGTGGTGCTGAATTTGTTCTGTGGTTTCTGATAAAACATCTACAATTTTAAATGTAATATTATTAAATATTTGCAATTTATAGTCAAGCCCAAATATCTTGGTTATGTTTTTTTTTAACAGCGAAAATACAAATGTCCTGTATTAAATAAATCTTCATCCCATTATTCATTGTGTATGTGTGTGTGTATGTATGTATGTATGTATGTGTGTGTGTGTATATATATATATATATATATATATATATATAAAATTTTAAATATTGCTTTGCACTCTTAACACAATGCAATAACAACACAGAACAATAATTAAAAAAATGAATGGACTAAGCACCAGTATGACCATAAATCTTGAGCAATGAACCAGCCGCTGGCTTTAGAACTCCCCAACAGCCTTTGAATGGAAGGTTATAATTACAATGATGATTGTAATCAGATTTTTGATCTTTATTACTGATGGACACTCAAGGTCATTAGTCAGTGTGTCAGTACAGATCTGCACCACTGTGAAAGGAGCGGAGAACAAACGTTCCTGAGAAAAACAGCCAGAGGCTGAGGGGGGACAGGGAGGTGGGATTGAGAGGAGAGCAATGCAATAACAACACAGAACAATAATTTAAAAAATGAATGGACTAAGCACCAGTATGACCATAAATCTTGAGCAATGAACCAGCCGCTGGCTTTAGAACTCCCCAACAGCCTTTGAATGGAAGGTTATAATTACAATGATGATTGTAATCAGATTTTTTATCTTTATTACTGATGGACACTCAAGGTCATTAGTCAGTGTGTCAGTACAGATCTGCACCACTGTGAAAGGAGCGGAGAACAAACGTTCCTGAGAAAAACAGCCAGAGGCTGAGGGGGGACAGGGAGGTGGGATTGAGAGGAGAGAAAAGGGATGAAAGTGTGAAATTTGGTGGAGAAGGCGGGAGCCAGAAAAAAAGACACACAATCTGTGTCACTGTAATGGCGGCAGATTTGATGCACAAGTATCTGCAGTGCCAGTTTCTAGTGGGAGGAGCTTCCATTATCAATCAGCACTCATCTCCCGCCCACATTCCATATTAACAATTCAGGCTAGACTCTGAGCTCCGCTCTCCTGAGCTCTTATTGGTTGAGAGGGAGCACCTGATGCTGCATGATTGGTCGCTGTAGAGGGGAGGCAAAATGTAGCTGCTCTCCTGGTCAGTGGCTACGGTGGCATTCATTCAAATGGAAACATAAACAGAGGGGCTGAAAGCAAAGGTGCACTGAAGGCAAGAAAGAAACTGAGGGGAAACCATCTGTGTACACTGAAATCTGCTGAAGGACACTTGGAATATCAGCATTGGGGTGGATTCTGCACATTCATGCTGTTTGTTTTTTAATATCAGTAGTGTGTAATTGGATTTTCTGCCTCCTCGGTCACCATAAAGCAGCTTGATACTGCTGGTGCGGAGAGCTGCCGTTCTCCATGGTGATGGACATAGCAACCAGCTCAGCATCTCTGCACTACGTTACCACGATTGCGTTCTGGGCTAGTGTATTTCAATGTACGTCTATGTGTTTTAATTTGCTTTTGGACACATTATGCATTCATCTGGCGTGTCAGGGGGCAAATGAAGATGTGTACATGTAGATCAAATAATGGTTTGCAATTCATTGAGTGCTGGTTAATTTTTCAGTCTGATATGTAGGGATGACTGCAGTGAGTTGGTTAGTAACCGTTTAATGATGACTTTAGGGTATGTGACATATTCAGTATCTCAGTGTTTATGACTTTTGAAAGTGTGTGCGCTTGCTGCCATGGTGATGGTGTCTCTCTGATTTTCAGTCTCGGCTCGACAGGGGTCGGCTTCATCCTGGTCATTGACCGGCGACAAGACAGATGGGCATCAGTGAAGGGGACGCTGCTGCGGATTGCGGTGAGCCCTCAGAGTGTGTGTGTGTGAGAGAGAGTGAGAGAATAAAAATAGGATGTGCATGTGCTTAAATGTGTATATTGTGATAGAGAACATCATAATTTAAATATAAAGGGATAGATTACCCAAAAAGGAAAATTGTTATTATTTACACTCTCTAATGTAATTTCGAACCTGTTTGAATTAAGTGTTTATTATGCGGAACACAAGAACTTTAAAATTAATGCTTTTTTTGTTTTTCTATACAATGAAAGTCAATGGGGTCCAATGTTGTTTGCCTCCCAGTTGACAATTTATGGAAAAAAAATGTGCTTCAAATATCTTATTTTGTGTTGCACAGAAGAAAGTAAGTTATATACACTCTTAAGATAAAGGATCTTTATTGGCATCAATGGTTCCACAAAGAAATTTTTAACATCCATGTAACCTATGCCACAAAAGGTTCTTTAGAGTGGAAAAATATTATTTTAAGAACTGTTCACCGAACGATTCTTTGGGACCCAAAAATGGTTCTATGCGAAAAAACCCTTTTGGAGCCTAAGTGTAGGTTTAAGAGTAAGTAAATGATGTCAGAAGGTTCATTCTTAGATGAACTTTCCTTTTAAGAGAACACTTTAAGATGAAATCTCTTTGAGTGTCCGTATGAATGGGGAAACTTTTGCGTGTACATCTGTGTGCTGTTTTTTTCCATCCATGCTGTAAGAAGAATAGGAGCTGACAGACAGATGCTTTTGGCTATATGAGTGGATTAGTCAGAATTTCTACATTATTCCAAGTCGGAGGGCATCTAAATAAGGCCCTCGTTTCTTTTCATAGAAAACCTAAATATTTCATCCACCACAGAGACGTCTAGTGCACCGCACTCTGCAGACATCCTCATGAGTATAAACACAGCCCACTGAAAGCCCAAATGATGTTGAAATTATGTTTAATGAACAATAGCAGCAAAAACAGCTGTGTCCGTTCTTGTCATCAGCTTGTTTTGAGTGTGGCCTGTAGTGATCATCAGTGCTTTTATCCTTGTGGTAAACTCTATCAACAAGTGTGGTGGCTGCAGGGGGTTTGTTAAAGCTGTGAGCATGTGTATGATGGTCAGTAGGGGAGAGGTCACTAGGCTAATCAGATTAACACTGTTAAATTAGGTCAGCACTCAAAAACGCTACTGGAGTCAAATCAGTGATCAAGATGTTGGCTAACTTGTGCTTCACCAAACAAGGGCAAAATGTGGTAACAATGCTAAAAAGTATGTTTTTTTTATTGAATTTGATACATTTTCACATTTTGTCAAACTCAGCAAAGTGAGTCCTGATTTTGGTCTTATCTCTGTAGTTATCTTTGCGTAGCAGTGCAAACAAGGCAGACATTATAAAAGGAACAGTTGTTGTTTCATTCTTGTCAGTGTCATTATTGGCATTAATTAACTTGTGTTTAAAACAGCAGTGGGAGATATTTTATACCCAAAATGTGCACAAATTTAGTGTGTGCTAGTGTTTTGTGAGGATTGTAGGCTTTGAGGACTTAGAAGTGAACATAAGATGATATTTAATGGCTCTTTCACTGATACGTGTCATTTCATACTGCACCGACACTGTGTAAGTTTCACTAGCATACATGTTTTAAGCTGGGGAAAATGCATTCATTTTTGTTTTTGAAAGACGTCTCTTATGCTCACTAAAGCTGCATTTATTTGATCAAAAATACACTAATATCGTGAAATATTATTGCAGTTTAAAATATTTTAAGATATTTTACAATGTAATTTGTTCCTGTGATGGCAAAGCTGAATTTTGAGCATCAAAATGCTCCAGTCTTCAGTGTCACATGATCCTTCAGAAATCATTGATAATATGCTGATTTGGTGCACAGGAAACATTTATTATTATTATTATCAATGTTGAAAACAGTTGTGCTGCTTAATATTTTTGTGGAAACATGATACATTTTTTGTCAGGATTCTTTGAGTAGAAAGTTTAAAAGAACAGCATTTTTTTTTAAATATTGTTACTGCCACTTTTGGTCAATTTAATGCATCCTTTGATTAAAGTATTTATTTTACTGACACCAAACTTTTAAACATTCTCCTTTTATTATTTTTAAATATTAAACAAAATTGTTCATATGAAACTTGGTTTTGTTTGGTAAACATGGCCTATTAACTGGTAACTTGGGTTGCAGCAGTTGGACTGTTTGTTTATTGTCCCATGTAATAATTGGTTTTATCTGTACAGTGACAGTTAGAAACACGAGAGCTGGTCTAATGTAAAGTGGCTTTAGGAGACTAAATGAATTATTCACTTATTTTAGGCCACTTTTACATTAGTGTCCATTTTAATAATGTAATTACTGTTACTGTAAGTACTAAGTGATAGTAATGAGTAACATGCACTTAATATTTCATCATGTTGTTGAATAGTCTGCAGATGCTCACTGTAACATGGTGACTGTTAAAGTGCTCTAACACATGTCAGCCAATTATTGTGACAACTAAACTTGACTCTTTCTGAATAAGCGACTTTTGTGTTTTAGTGACATCAGATCTATAACAGAGTGCACATAATTCTGGTGTTCAGACTGTTTTACTGTGCTGTTTATGTGTTGATGATGGAGAGGTTTATTCTACTACCCCACAAACATACTTCAGTTTAGATGACACATTCCAGGATTATCTTGCACCTGAAGAAGAGAGGGGAATTTATCTTTGTTTCATAGGCATAATGCATTTTGCTGTAGATTATTATTATTTTGCCTCATGTCCCTCTCTCTTTCTCTTCACTTTACTTTCAACCTTCTGTTAAACTGCACTTCATATCATATTATTTCTTGCATGTTCATAGTTAGGCTACAAACACGGTGAGAGTTTCCACACAAATATTAAGCAGCAGCTGTTTTCAACATTGATTATAATAAGCAATGTTTCTCAATATTGTTGCTGAAAATTCAGCTTTGCTATCCCAGGAATAAATGACAATTTAAATATATTACAATAGAAAAATGTCTTTTAAATTGTAATAATAATCTAGTGTAGCGTTAGTTCTGGCAGGTCACGTTAGTCAAGCTCGCATCAGCTGATCCCCATCAACCTATGGGAATACGACACCTATCTAAGCATTCATATATAAGGTCCCTCAGTATTATCAGCAGTTTTCGCATTGCTCAATAGCTAATTACCCTTCTCCATCCCCAACTCCTCCTCTGTCAGTCAGGATTCAGCCTTCTGATTCTCCTTTGAATCAGACTAATTCTAAAATGTGTACATAACATTATTGAACTTTAACGATATCTGCAATGCATTTATGTTGCTTCTGTTCTGTTTACCCTGGGGGGGTTTATCGCTGCTCTCCCTGCTCTCATCCATGCTAGGCTGCATGGATGCGCAGAGAGTTCTTGCCCAGAACAGAACCATACCGCCAATCCAAACTGTATGCTAATTGTCAATCATCTTTGACGATAGTGGTCCTGACAGAATTGTAATTAACATGTTTTTGATCAAATAAATGCAGCATTGGTAAACTTGTAAATAAAAAAACACTGAAAAATCTTACCAACTCCAAACTTTTGAAATGTAATTCAAAAGACAATTAAAACAAATATATTCCTTTGATTATTGTATATTATGTGACCATTTTTTAAAGGAAACTTTTACCCTGCTGTACCTTTTCTATGCAAACAGTAGTTTTTCTCTCCCTCGCCTTTTTCCTTCTCATTCACTCTCTCTCTGCTCACACACACACTGGCACACACAAGCCATGTAATCACTCCTTTCTTTCTCTATCCTCCATCACAGCACATATGGCTGATTGGTAATGGTTATCAGCAGTGCAGCTGGTGTGGAACGGCCGGAGGAGATTTTCCTACACGTGTCTGAAATCAAAACAAAAATACCTCCAATCAGTAAATTGATCATTAAAAAACAAAATAAAAAGTTCTAATAACATCATACATAACTAATTCTAAATGAAGGCCATTGTGTGCTTTGGTCTTTATAGGTCATATACAAATACAAATGAGGTTGCTTCACAAATTAAGAACAATAAGACATTTATATATCATGGAGGAAATGTTGATTTTTGTGTCTGCTTTTGCTCAGTGTTAGATTGGTTAATGATGTCTTGTATGTATTTCATTTATGGCATAATTACAAGTGTGTTAGTTTCTTCTTCATTTCTTTTAACATGGAACAAAATCCCTTGTGCACACTCTCATTATTGTTTTTGTTATTAGAATTTAGATGCATTTAGATTTGTGCAATTTTATGTGTTCAACAACATGCACCAGTGAACAAAGAAGTCTGATTGAACTAGTCTCTGTATTCACTTTAGGACATTTTAATGTGTGCTAATGCATGCTAATGTATGATAATTGGGCACAGATAAACATCTTCCCCAGTGTAGCTAAATTGAAATATTGCACTGTTCTTGCAATATTTGCAATGGATGACCAGTGATCCTCCCCCCACGCACATACAAATAAATATTGTACATTAAAAAAAAATTTGATTTTTTTTTTCAAAGTCCATATTAATATCAAACAATTCAGTACTAGTCACTCAATTCTTACAACTCACATTTTATATATTTTTTATTAAATTTGATTTAGTTTTACTAAGGAGTATATGAACTGCATAAACCATCTTATTATTGTTCCCACAATGATTCATAAATAAATTGAGACACTAAACAGCTGACCGAGCACGAGTTTAATATGCTCCTCCCTCATTTCATCTCGTGCTTCAGCATGCAGACCAACCAGCTGTGTTTAAATGTCTTTTATTATGGTGCTGCTGGTCCTGTGTTTACTGGCGCTAAACATTTCCTTTCTTTGGCCTGAAAGCGTTGATGGCCATCTCCCTTCTGTGCTCTCTCAGGCGTCTCAAGGGAGGTTGTTAAGAGGCTCGTGTGTTGAAAGACAGGAGAGCGTCTGTTCAATGACATCCGCTGTAAAAGGACATAAAGCACCCATATCCATTTTTACCCTATGGGTAGAGTCTTTGATGTGTCCTATTC